CCTGCACAGTGGTAACAAGGCATGATGGATCCATGTTCTCAATCTGTTTACGCCAAATTCTGACTCTACCATTTGAATGTCTCAACAGAAATCGAGGCTCATCAGACCAGGCAACATTTTCTTCAACGTCTTCAACTGTCCAATTTTGGTGAGCTCGTGCAAATTGTAGCCTCTTTTTCCTATTTGTAGTGGAGATGAGTGGTACCCGGTGGTGTGACTGCCATTTGTTTTCTGCGTGTAAATCGTTTGTCTCTGTTTTGCGGTTAGTAAGGATTTGGGTAGTGATTTGTCTTTTGTTTTCTTTTCTTTTGGTTTAGGGGAGTTTTTGTTGGTGCGCGAGTAGGTTGTTCACTTGTTTTGTTTATTATTTAACACCCTGGTGTTTCATATTACATATCAAAGTATATTCAAAATATATCGTTTCTTAACTATAGCAATTTCTGTCAGTCATTTCTTTTCCGTCCCTTTCTCCATCCTTTCCCTCCGCATTCCCTGTTCCCTGTTCTCCTCGCTGTTTACGCCTCGACCCTGAACCAGTGGCCTGTACTACAAAGCGGGGTTACTGGCTTATCGGGGTAACTTGTCGGATTTAAGGTACCACGGTCTAAATGGACTTCATATTTGTTCACTTACATTTTGCCTAGACCACCTTAAATCCGACAAGTTACCCCAATAAGCCAGTAACCCCACTTCGTAGTACAGGCCCCAGGTCGTAACAATAGTAACTGTCAGAAATTTTATCATGAAACTGGTAACCATTTTATCCCTGTTCATGATGTGACCTTTTGTATGTGGTTGCACACCCCCCCTCCATATTAAACTCCTTCTGATGCCACTGCTTACAACATATTTCTTGTTGCACTGAATCTCCCTCTGCTAATCCCAGGCACTAGCAGATTTGTTCCCCATTTGCAGTAACATAACTGTGGCTTCACCTAACACATGATGAGTCACTGGAGAAATTATGGTAATCTTTCAGGAAGCTGTTGTAATTCATAGCCTCAATGAAAGTGTGTTCAATATCCATACCTGGCCCCTTCATGAAAATCGATGTTGGCGTCACCCACTCTGGCCACGCAGTCATTGCTGCTTACGCTGGGTCGTCCCGTTTCGTCGCTGCCCACACTGATGGTGGCCTTGATGGTCAGACCACTTATGTCGAGATCAAAGCAGCCACTGTCTTGTCTGTAGTGTGCAGTGTGAGAAAGTCTTTGTTATTCTCATCCACCCTGAAAAAAAGTTTGTCCGCAAGAAGAACACTGCAGTGACACTCACATGAACCCGAGGTATGTGACATGCCAGTCTCCGTGCAGATTGATGAAGGCGTTGCCAATGGACAGACTGATACCAGTGCCGGGGACGAGGCCCAGAGAGGACTGCGGCAGGCCCAAGTCTGTGATTCTCATACTGGAGGAAGCAACAGACCGGGACACACTGTGACTAAAACAGGAGCCTGCAGCATCGCCTGGAGCAGAACCATGACCCTGATCACTACAGACTGGGGGCAAAGCAACGCGATTGGTCTGCTGTGCAACTGTGCTGCCAACAAGCTGAAAGTTCACATTCTGGGGATTAAATTATGGGTAACATTCAGCACAGACCCTAAATGTATGGATGAATAAGGAAATCGAGGTAAACTGTTAAACTGTGTTGTAAACATGTACAAAAGTATGATAAACCGTACATTGATAAAATTTTACATTCAGTACAGACCCTAAATGTATGTATGAGCAAGGAAATCGAGGTATACTTTTTGAGTGGGAAAAATGTTTCTGATGTAATGTAAGAAATGTAGCAAAGTCACATAAATGGTACATAGATAAAGTGTTATGTTTGTTTAAAAAGGAGATTGTTATAAAGATATGCACAGTGCATAACAGGATGTGTATCTGTACCCTGAGAGTCTGTACTCGACGTCACCAATGGGAGAAACATCCTCAGATCCAGAGATATTAGAGATCTTGACAGACTTCAGCTTCTCCTCCAGATACGCGATTCCAATTTGTCGGCCTGCAGAGAAACCAGAAGGGAATGAACATTTACTGAAAGATGTAGCCTGCTGTATTTCAGCTGAAGCTGCCTTTGTATCACCATAATACTTTCAGATGCAGTCATGTAACCCTGTTATCTGGGATCGGGTAAGCCAGAGGCTAGTCTCACCTTTTGATTAATACATGCTTGGTTTTATTTTTCTTTAGTGTTTGGTATGGTTTTCTATGTCTGTTATGGTTTATCTCTGTGTTCCTGCTTTGGTTTACTCAGCATGTGCCCTGTTTTATTCTGGTTCTGCTTGTTGCTAATCTTCCTTAATGTTAGCCCTCAGTGTTGCCTTTGTCCCTTAGTTCCTGTTTATTTCACCGGTTGCTTGTTGTCCTGCTCCTTTATTGATCGGCTGATTTTTGTGATAGTTCACACCTACCTTTCGTTATCTGAGTATTTAAGTGCTCGCTCTCTTTCTGTTCTTTAGTGAGTCATTGCACGTTACGGTGTGTTTGTAGTTCTGCCCCTTCACCCCCCCATTGTGTTTTGTTGACTTTCTTTGTGGTTACTTTTAGTTTGTTTTTCTTCCTCCTTTTAGTTCTTACCCTTTGTGATCACTTTATTTCATAATTTTCCCCAGTGTGTTCATTTTTATTAAGAAACCCCCGTGGTCTTGGAACTGCCCCGTGGATAGTCACCCCTTTTCCTGCCTGCACCATGCCCCACCCTAACAAGCACATGCTTGAAATGGTGCAAAATCCATAGGTTGACAACAATAGAAAGGCATGTACCTTTAGATTTGGCTATAGCATAGGAACTTACCATTGTCCAAGGCTTTCTGGGTAATTTGGACCTTGACTCCAGGGTTGGTGCTCACGGTTGGGTCTGGGAGAGCCAAAAGCAGCAGCAAGCACCACAAAGACATCGTGTTTCCTGCGGAATCAGTCACACACATCAGTCCCTCATCTGAGCAACACGGTACCACCTTAAATTCCAGATCATGTAAGAATAGGCAGAATGACCCAGGGTAACCTTACTGTAGCTGTGTATTGCATGCACCAATCCAGAGTAAGATGCCCTTACCTGTGTAGGACTTAATTAAATATGAATTTACTGCATTGCCTTTTCCTTCTTAACACTGTCTTCATAAGTTGGAACACTTGATTGCTCTTTATGTAGTATATCCATATTCTGTAATATCCTGGATTTTAAATCTATGTACTATCTATTTATTCTGTAATGTTAACAGAACTGAGACTTGATAATAGTTTGTCAGTAATGTAAAATGAAGCCTTCAGTGATGCTTTCTCCTGTCAGAACACCATTACAGTGGTGTAGGGGAAGCGGCACTTTTTTGCTTCAGCTTCAGAGCTGGTTTAACGCCCATTTGCTAAGATTGAATTCTGTGTATGTTTGTATTTATACATTCTTGAAACAGAACAATTCAGACCAGTTTCCTTCTTCTGCATGGATTTTGCAGCATAATGGCATCATTTGTATTTGTCTGAAGTTCAGTGAATAGTTGAACTCTTAGGAGATTGTCATATGTTTATATAGGTATGTTATTTTGATGCTTATACAAACAAAAACTGCATAGTGTTGCTAATTGTATTTGCAGTAGAAAACTTGGTGAAATGCTTGCAGCTTGTGTATCAGTAGTTTTTTAAGATGTTTTGCACATTTTAATAATACCGCAATAGCATTGATAAACATAATTTTGGTTACTATAATTGTGATACTAAATTGTTTCATCTGAACTTTTCATCTGCAGGAGAAAACAACATCTGGAGGAGACCCATGTAACCATGGGATGTTTTAGAGAATAACTCCTACAAATATGACAGTGACTGAATTTAGCACTCACTACCACAGAGTACCAGGTACTTTAGAAATATTATATATTGCTGCATAAATACGACTTAAAACAAAATCAGATCTTTACACAAGTTCAAAAAGTAGATGAAGAGAACACAATTGAACAAATGAGACAAAAATATCATACTTGGTCATCGATTTAAAATGATCACATTTAATTTAAAATGTCACAAATCTGTGTGGCAAAAGTATTTGTAATTTGAAGGTGAGATAAGTCAGGTGTTGTCAATCAATGTCATGGTTGTCAATCAATGTGATGACAATCAGATGTTAATGGGCACCCTGTTTATATTACACATCAGTGTATTATGCCACGGACAAAGGACATTTCAGAGGACCTCTGTACTGTTGATGCTCGTCATGCTGGGGAAGGCTACGAAACCATTTCTAGAGAGTTTGGACCTCACTAATCCACAGTAAGACAGATTGTGTTAAAATGGAAGAAGTTTACGATTATTGTTACTCTCCCCAGGAGTGGTCAACCAACAAAAATCACTCCAAGGGCAAGGTGCATGATTGTCCGCAAAGTCACAAAAGAATGAAGGGTAACTTCTGAGCAACTAAAAGCCTCTCTCACATTGGTTAACATTGGTCACAGACCTGACTGAAAAAATAAGACCTTGAATATCAATATATATGTATTGGATTCTTTTCTGGATCTCAGCGGAGACGGACGCACTTCTCTCCCTCTCCCTCCCCTTATCTTCCCTGCTTTGCTCCTCTCGTCTTGTCAAGTCTACTGTCTTATACTTTGAGAGACTCTGCTCTCCAAACTACCGCAGCCTCCCCCCTTCCCACGCCTTCGCCGCTTCATACCCCCAGCGTGAACAGGTGGGTCTGTGGCCAGTGCCGGCTATGGCTGCAGGACCGGATGGCTGTTTGTTTATGCTGGCCTACCTCCACCTCCCCATTTCCCTCCCCTGTTGCAAGTCATGACTTTTTATGTTGTAAGGTGTAGTGACTATGTGCTTATGTTGCTGAGGTGTGTTTTTCTGTTCCTACAATGTCCTCCCTACTGGAGTACAGTCTGGGGCTGTTTTTTTATTCTCCTCCTCTCTCCTCATGTAATTCTGTTTTCTCTGTTCTTCCTATATCCCCCGTCTTCCTGACCTGTCTACCCCCTATAATGTGATGTTTGTGTATATGTATAGTCGGGTTGATGGGCAGTTTTTTCACTGGTACTTGTGACTAGTGACATGGTGTATTGCAACAGCAATAAAGGGTTTCATCATCATCATCATCATCATCAGTGGAAATAAAACATCTACCTAAAAAATCCAGAACATTTAAACTGGAAAAAAGGAAAAAAAAACTTTCAAACACTTATTTTTAGATTGAATACACTATTGTGTACATCAAAACTTCCTTTTTTCAAATTAACAAAACTATTTGCCCTCCTTTAGCGCCGTATTTTCCATAGCGGCAGCTGGGTTACATTCCAAGGATATTTCTAGTGTTATGCTTTATGGTACTTTCATTTGTACAATGTTGAACCTTATTTATTTATTTTAACTTCAAAATACAAACTGGACATTATTTGTGTATATCCTATTTATATATATTTTTCTCTTTGCACAAGAAGTCTAAGTTTCGTAACAAGTTGTATTTCAGGAAAATACTCTGTCCTGAATAAATGTTAATATGCAGTGTACGTCTCTAGAAAATTCTGCTTCGCAGAGCACACCTTTTAAGACTAAATCACTTCACAAGAATACCTGCCAACCACTACCTCATCACATACATGAGTGTGTGTCACAAGCTTGGCTGTGTGCCAAAAAGCCATAACAGATGAAGAAATACCACAGGATCATTTGAAGAAGCAGGAATATAATGTAATATATAATGTTAGTCATATGTAGTAGTATGTAAATAAAACAATTTGTGCAGTTTGCCCAGTAAACAGCTGTGTAAAACTGATATGCTAAATAAGAAGAAGCTTGATTTTGTTTTTTGATTACCTTGTGAAATTATGTCCAGGATGAGTGAAGTATGCTCTTCATTACCTGGGATTGCTGCAAGAAGAAGTGAAAGAGAAAGATGGACACACAGCCCTTAAATCACTCTCCTGGACCAGGAAGAGATTCTCGCATAATTAAACAAGATAAACACATTGTCACAGTTTCAGTGTCATGAGCTCCAGTCTAGGGTTGGAGTGTAACAGAATTAAAAGGGAAAGGACATGGGATAAAGGGACAGATTGGGGAATGGAACAAGGCAACACCAGTGAACAAAGGGTAATTATTTTTTTTTACACTGCTCAAAAAATTAAAGGAACACTTTGAAAACACATCAGATATCAATTGGAAAAGAAGTCATGTTGGGTATCCATACAGATATGGACTGGGTAATGTGTTAGGAACAAAAGGATGTTACATTGTTTGATGGAGATAAAAATGATCAACCTACAGAGGGCTGAATTCAAATACACCCCAAAAATCAAAGTGAAAAAAAAATGACGTGGAAGGAAAAAATGACGTTTAATTTACTGAAATTTCATTGCAGCAACTCAAAATCATACCCAGTAGTTTGTCTGGCCCCCACGTGCTTGTATGCATGCCTGACAACATCAGGGATGCTGCTAATGAGACGCCGGATGGTGTCCTGGGGGATCTCCTCCCAGATCTGGACCAGGGCATCACTGAGCTCCTGGACAGTCTGAGGTGCAACCTGGAGGCGTTGGATGGACCGAAACATAATGTCCCAGAGGTGTTCTATTGGATTTAGGTCAGACGAGCATGGGGGCCAGTCAATAGTATCAATTCCTTCATCCTCCAGGAACTGCCTGCATACTCTTGCCACATGAGGCTGGGCATTGCCGTGCACCAGGAGGAACTTAGGACCTACTGCACCAATGTAGGTTCTGACAATGGGTCCAAGGATTTCATCCCAATACCTAATGGCAGTCAAGGTGCCGTTGTCTAGCATGTAGAGGTCTGTGTGTCCCTCCATGGATATGCCTCCCCAGGCCATCACTGACCCTCCACCAAACCAGTTAAGCTGAACAATGTTACAGGCAGCATAATGCTCTCCATGGCTTCTCCAGACCCTCTCACATCTGTCACATGTGCTCAGGGTGAACCTGCTGTCAGCTACCCCCCCACACCATGCCAACCACTACAGTCAATACCAAAACAAATACACAAACAATTAGAGTGAAGGGATAAAGACTGTTCATTGTTTAATTTTGTGTGATGATTTAATAAACAATATACAGGTATTTCTTGACTTTATGAGCTAATTAGTTCCTCAGTCATTTATCATGAACTCGTAAAGTGGGAGGTATTTTCCTACAGGATATTTTTAATAATTATGACTTTTTTTCAAGCCCAAAATTTTTTTTACATAAACATTTTGACCAAATAAACAAAGGAAACACAAATGTATTATCAGAATCAACATTTAATCAATAATATACACAGATTTAAACAAATAAATCATTGGAGAAAAACCAAAAACACAACTTTGCCAAAAATTGTACATTCACAGTCAATTTCAGTCACTTTTACCTCGTTTCCACCAACACAGAGTTGGTGCTGGTGCTGGGCTGGTTCTTGCTTGGTGCCTTTGGAGAACCAGCCTGCATTTCCACCAGTTTCAAAAAAGAATGGAACAGAAATGTTATGTAGGCAGAAGTGAAAGTAAAGTAAAGGTTTAACCTGTATTTCGTTTTGTGGATTTAAGGCTCCCTGTCTCTGTGTGAGTGAGTTTATTCCTTGTTCATGTTCACTGTTTTACCACTGTCCTTTTAAGGATCGTGCAATGAAAGAGTCTGCTAAAAACTAGACTTTGCAGTCCACCTCATGATCTCCTCGCCACTCGAATGCCACATTATTTTATTTATTCAACCTGTGACATATTTATACTTTATTATTAAACCAGCCCAGCAAATCGATTTTTCATGTTTCACAGAATAAAATAAAATGATGTAACGTTGCATCATTTATGTGAACTATACAAGGGTTTTAGTGCAAGTTAATATTTTCCATAAAATCTTATTTTCAGCAAATACAGTCCATAATACTTGAGAAATTTCAATAGGTGCAGGTAGTTTTTCCTCATAAACAGGATGACATCAAGACTGTCAGTATTCACACATCAAATATTTTATACTCATATCTGAGTAGTCCAGAATGTCACGAAAACAAAAACATACAGGATATGTGGCTAACTCAGGTACATACCATGTAATAAGCCTAATACCAAAGAGATAGAAAAACGCTCAAAAATGGATGGGGTTCAAAGGGTTAACCAATGTGACAGAGGATTTTAATCAAAACCTCTTCCACTTGTACACAATCTGTCTCTAAACTCTTTAGAGATGTTTTTGTAGCCTTTCCCAGCACAATGAGCATCAACAATTGTTTTTTTGAGGTCCATGGCATAATACACTGATGCTGCACAAATGTAGCTGTTTTAATATAAACAGGGTGCCCATTAACATCTGATTGTCATCACATTTGATTGACAACCACGACACTGATTGACAGCACCTGACTCTTATCTCACCTTCAAATGACACATACTTTTGCCACTGACAGATTTGTGACATTGGATCATTTTAAATAGTCTCATTTGTTCAATTTTGTTCTCTCAACTACTTTTTGGACTTGTGTGAAGATCTGATTATAAGTCATATTCATGCAGGAACATGGAAAATTCCTAAAGTACCTGGTACTCTGTGGTAGTGAGTGCTGAAGTCACTCGCTGTCATGTTTTTAGGAGTTACTCTCTAAAACGTCCCTTGGTTGCATGGGTCTCCTCCAGATAGTTTTCTCCTGCAGTCCAAGACATGCAGTTAGGCTATTTGATGTTTCTAAATTGCCCCTAGTTTATGGATGCGTGCATGCCTGGCAATGGACTGGCCTTCTTTCCAGGGCGCCCCCTGCCTTGTGCCCTGTGCGATGACAGATGAATGAAACAGAAACTGAGGTGTATTTTCGCAGTACAGTTTTAAATTTTGTATAATATGAATGCTTATTTGTGTTTCTTTTACCATGACAGAAGCAAACCTGGAGCTTGTAGCAAACATACAGAGAATAATCCCAGGTACTCCTCCCGCACTTAATCTTCTGGGCTAGTGTTGGATGTAGGATAACTTTTGTCAGTGTGAGCTTTTATGGTGGACTTTGAAAGTGTCTGAATTGCACTACAGTCAGATTTGGTTATGAGTGGACTGATGAGGTTGTCAGAGTGTCAGTGATGGTACTCCAGACTCGGTCCATGACATGTAAGCTCTGTAATGCCAATATTTTAAATGTTCAGACCCAAACACAAGTGTTCTTTTGGATAAAAGCTCATTGTTTGTTGTTTTGTATAACCTTAACTGACCACCATATGGCCTGTATTTATTTGTATTTATGTTAATTATAAATGTCATTACTGTGTAATGTTTGCCGTTTAATCCTTGTGTTTCATTAGCGTGTAATCGTGAATGTCATGCAAACTGATGGTTTCCTTGTCTGTGCTGCCGGTAATACTATAATTAAACCGATACTGACTGTTAAATAGAGTATTTAATTTTAAAAGAGCTGTCATGTTCTTTACAAAAACGACTCGACTACACGCCACAATATGTTTTTTGTCCCCTTTATGTGAGTATGCCTCAACTGCTACGCGCCGTGAGGATTTTGGGGTTCGCACCGCAAGGATATGCGTTTATTACGGATTGCGTAATTTGCGTCTGTAACGTTCTGGTGTTTCATTGGCTCCGGCCAACGCAGATATCCACTCCTGGGTCTCTCTTGACGGATGTCGTCATTTCCGGGTTATACGTAGAAGGGGATCGACGACGCCGAAGTCCCCGGGTCCTCCGGGTTGCAACTTGCTGCCCTGCTTGTACTTCGTGCTTTATCCTGTTGTAATCGCTTGGGCATGACTCCGGTCTGTTTTCTGGTTTATCGCTTTTTGCTTTGCCCCCTGCTTTTTGATCGCCTGTTCTGTATATTTGCCGTTCCTGTCTAGCGACCATTTTGCCCGTGTTCCTGACTACGAGGAAGCCTAGTCCCTGGTGTTGACATGCTGCGCGTGTATCGTGTATGGTGTAAAGAGTGATTGACGGTTTTTATTTGTTCGATTTATTTGTGTATTTGGATAGGGAGAAAGTGAGAGCGATTGTCTTTTGTTTCATTTTTCTTTTGTAGGTGAGTTAGTTTGGCACTCGATGCGGTTGTTTTTGTTGTGTTGGCCTGGTTTACTCTTGAAGTCTGTACCTATACTGTGGTGAGCAAACTTGTAAATACGCTCAGGTAGTATAAACAGTTTTGTGCACTATGTTTGTTCTGCCTCCACACCTCCACCTACACATTTTATTTTATTAAGAATAAAAAAACTATTGCGTATAAACTGTATATTGTGTGTCTTGTGAGGAAATCTAACATGACACTTGTTGCAGCCGAGCATAAGGAAATATGAAATGTTATTTATCTCTTCATTTTGAAAAGATATAAATGCATTTATATGCAGTATGGACACATGAGAATCGCAATATTCAAAGAAGATTAATAAATCATTGGAATAGAGTAAAAAAAAAAAAACTTTAAAATTCTCCTCTTGCAATACTCTCTTACAAACGACAAATGGAGAAAACTTAACATTTATACATTGTTATATAATTATCTTTCTGTTGTGAGCCGTTAGAAAATCAGTAAAGATACACATCTCCAGTCATGGGGTGTGAGGACATCACTTTGTGAAATGAACGTCTGTTCCAATCAGCATGTAGTCCTGGAGCAGTGAGGGAGATAGAGTTGACTTGTAAAGCAGAATGGAAGGTTAGGGCTTCAGCTTCCATATCTATGAAATACCTGCTTGGAACAATGAGCTGCAGAGATGTAACTTCAGCATAGAGCATTTGTCAGGTTATAAAACTGTTCAGGGGTGTGACTAGTCTTACCTTGTGGACTTGCAGCTTGCTGTTGATGAGGTTCATTCTACCAATGGCTGGAAGAGGAAAACCCTGCTGAAGGTATTCTGTGGAGGCAGGATTTGTTCATAACTTTACTGCATTAATGGTTTCGCTTAGAGAAACAGGTGATGATTGTGTGGGCCAACAGAGTAACCACCGTGAGCTGCTAATATATACCAGTATCGTGGTTTATTCCTCCTCACAACATATTCCCTGCCACCCAATAAATAACACAAACATTTATTTACTTATTTACAAATTCTTTGTATGGACTCACTTAATGTATTCTTTCATTTTATATACTGCTTTTTCTTATTTAGGGTTGCAGGTGTCCGACTCCTGATAAGTCAAGATTTTTATTTGTCACATGCACAGCTGTACAGTACAATGGCAGTGAAATGTTAACACCTCCATCACTGTGCTTAAACATATATAATCTGTAAAGGGAGAAGTTAAGATAAATAATTAAATAGAGAATACAAAAAAACTACCAGAAAAAGTGATAAAATATGTATTAATGTATTATGAAGTGTGCAGAGTTAGACGCAAAATCCTGGAAACAGCGAGTGCCAAGCAGGGAATAACCCAGGACGTGGAAGAGTTTGTGCCAAGTTGCCAACTCACATGCACACACTATTCACAACTATGGACCTACATACCACATACTCTACAAAGTCGTACTCAATAATAATAACAGTAATGGATATTTCCTGTGATAATAGTACTTTTTTAGTGTATTATAAGTGTCACAGATATTAATGTGTTGTGATGTCATAGTTTAAACTGCATTAATGAACTATTTCAGATTTTTTTATCACAGTATACCGTCATACCTTTGCACCAATATAATGAATAATCACAAGTAGCTGAATATAAAGAACCAAATGGATACATTGTATAGTACTACCTTGGGTTTTCCTAATCCCAAAACCCTTCTGATCTTTGTCATTTGCACTCTTTCATTCCTTCGTTAGCCTTAAGGAGACTTCTGTCACACAAATTCTTGCTCTTACCGTTAACTTTTGGTATTACAGCCAGTTTCATAACCAACATGAAGATGTTGTGGAGAGGTTTCACCTGTAAAAGGGTCATGATGACATTACTCAGTTCATATGTTAGCAAACTGCACACACTATTGACAGTGCTGCTAAAATAGTGAGAATAGTGTTGTAGAAATAGTAATGGTATTTTTCTCACCTGAAACTCTCCCACATATGAAGTTCCCAGTGACATGTCAAATCTACAATGAAAAGTTGCAATATTTGATTAATTGGCCTTTCTATTTTTTCCCTTGTCATTTGACTGTACATTGGCCTATGCTTCAAGCATACTGACCCGTTCAGTTGTAGAGATCCAACCAGTTTCAGTCCACTTATATAGAAATTGCCACTGACACTGGCATCCTGCAGAGATCATGGGCCGTGGGAGTCATTTTCCTGCCACATGTGATCTAAAAACTTTACAATTTCATTCTGTCTCACCAACCATGTTGAGGATGAAGAGAGGCTCCAGCGTGGTGTTGGGCAGGATGGCGTAGGCCGTGAGAGTTCCCGTGGCCTGCAGAGTCACGTTATTGGGCTCAAAGGTCACGTTGGGCTGTGTGGATGTCTTCAGCAGGAGCTTCATCATCATGTCAGGAAAGCGTTTGGAGATCTAAGGAACAGGGAGATTTGAATCTCACATCCACCGATCTACGTCATTTGTTATCAGAAGGTTCATGGATGCTATAGGGAGAGGCAGGCTTACCTCTGGAATGAACACTCCAAATGTTTTGGTGTTCAACCGTATGGGAGAGCTTGAGGGGACCTGCTCACAGAGACGGGAAAAGCACCTTGGTCACACATTAAATCAGGTTTGGGAGTGTAGCCAACAGGAAGTGGGGCTCACAAAATCGCTAGCCCGATGTTCCAGGATAATCAATTTTTCCCATCGGGCTACCAAGATGTAACAACATCCTGCCAGATGGACTAACAGAAATGGTTAGTCATGGTAATAAAGTAGAGCACGTTAAAGCAAGCAAGTTAAGTCAAATATGGACCAGTACACTGTATACAATAATGCAAAATATTGTTATATAAACCTTATATAAAAGAAAATCACAGGCAAATGATATAAAAAGAAAACGGATGTTACTGGATGGGACCCACACACAGTAGCAAAGTAGTTATGAGCTGCCAGCTATCTGATTTTTTTGAACGTCATGGGTAACATGGGGAGGGGGGGCAACAAAAAAAGATGTGGGGGAAATATTTTGGTGTATTCATAGGCAAGTACAAGTATAAATCTCATGCTTATTATTTTAATTTATTATTAAATATTGTTCATCATTATTTTCATCATGTAATGGTAATGCTAAGCTATTCCATTGCTCTATGCTGCGATGTCAACATTAAAGTGCTCTGCCTGTTGTTGTTGTTCTTACAGCAAATCTGATTTGATCGCACATAAGTGCCTCAAAGGCAAATTGTTGGTCGATTTATTGTGTCCCTGGATGTGCGGCTGCAGGGACTGTCTGAGGAGTCGTTTCTTTTTGCTTTCCTCTCTTCATGTCTGTGATGCTGACAGACTGCTGTGTCCCAAGTTCACTGCTGGTGCCCAACTAATGTTGCCCCGTCGTACATTACACAACTATTATTATTATTGTTATTATTATTATTGCTTTCGAGTACACATACATATATTTTTTTTAAATCTGGCCTAGTCAAAATTCATTTCGGGCTACTAAAATCTGAGTAATGCCTGGCTGAAGGGCTACCAGTGATTTAGAAATTTTGGGAGCATAGTGGGGAAAGCATGATCAGACTGTAGGAAGTGTGATTGGCTTTGGTTAAAAGCAGCTGCCAGTGAATAATGTGGCAGGCTCACTGGGAACTCACTCACCATGTCGTCGGTGATGTACAGGCTGAGAGCTCCGGCTCTGTTGTAGACAAAGCCTGCTGAATTGGCCATGAAGGAGGACAGGCCGATGTACAGCATGCTGCTCGTCTGGGGGGGCAGGGAGAAAGGCGGCGCAGAGAAGGGAGGCTCCTGGTGTTGGCCGATGTTGTAGAACTCACCCTGCAGGTACATGAGAACCAGCAGAGCTCTTGGTCAGATAGATAGTCAGCATGAATTCAATAAACGATTAGGATGAAGAAATGAAAAATACGTATTCTTAGTTGAAAGGTTTCTGCTAAAGCAGAAAGCTGTTTATATGTCACATTATCAGAATTCAAATGCAAAAACATATAAAAATGCTACTGTATCCCATATGACTTTTTATAAACTACCATTTTACGGGATAACTAGACAAATGAGTGTTTTCAAGAAAAGTATCTTACCTTTAAGCTTAACTCAATGAGGAAGTTTGAAATGGAGGGAGGAGTAACCATGGAGTACTCAATTTCAGCATACTTATCCACTTTAGCTAGCACTAGAAGATGAACAAAAACAATGTGGTACATCACCAGCATCTTATTGTAGCATAACTTTGGTCAGAAGAAAATGACTGAACTTTTCTCTTTTCAACATGACTCATTTGAAATAAAAGAAAAACTTTGCTTTGGTAAATGTATTAATTATCAATATTAAAAGCATCAGATTAGTTGGGCTTATGTTTCTGCTTCAAACTGTAGAGTTGTGTGGATCATACCATTCAGAGTTTTCAGCTGGGGGTTTAGATCAGATATGCCATCATGCACCAATGGGCAGATCTGTAAAGGAAAGCAGTGTGTTCTCATGATATCACCATTGTGAAAATGAAAATGTAGTCTATCCAATACATAATTTGTTACACATTAAGACACACTAGTGTATTGCTGATATTCACCTTTTGCTCTAAAGATCTGCGCAACTGTTTTTCAATGAAGCTTGTAAAAAGGTTGTACAACCAACTGGGAAACAAAAAACAAATGACATATTTATAACATACATTATTTTCTCTTACAACATATTCCGTGTTGCACATTTGTTCCCCATTTGCTATAACATAACTGTGGCTTCTAGCACATGATAAGACACTGGAGAATTTATGGTAATCTTTGAGGAAGTTATTGTAATTCATTGCCTCAATGTAACTGTTTGTTATCCATACCTGGCTCCTCCATGAAACTTGACACGGACACCACCCACGCTGGCCGTGCAGCCATTGCTGCTTATGGTGGGTCGTCCCGTTTCGTCTCTGCCCACACTGATGGTGGCCTTGATGGTCAGACCACTTACGGCCAAATCAAAGGAGCCACTGTCTTTTCTGCAGTGTGAGAAATTGCTCATTGTTCTCATCCAGCTTGCAAAAAGTTTGTGCACAAGAAGAGGAGTGCGGTGCCACTCACATGAATTTGAGATATTTGACATGCCAGTCTCCGTGCAGATTGATGAAGGCGTTGCCAATGGACAGGCTGATACCAGTGCCGGGGACGAGGCCCAGAGAGGACTGCGGCAGGCCCAAGTCTGTGATTCTCATACTGGAGGAAGCAACAGACCGGGACACACTGTGACTAAAACAGGAGCCTGCAGCATCGCCTGGAGCAGAACCATGACCCTGATCACTACAGACTGGGGGCAAAGCAACGCGATTGGTCTGCTGTGCAACTGTGCTGCCAACAGGCTGAAAGTTCACATTCTGGGGATTAAATTATGGGTAACATTCAGCACAGACCCTAAATGTATGGATGAATAAGCAAATTAAAATATATTTTTAAGTTGTAAAAATGTTTCAGAAATGTAACTGAATAATGTAACACATGTAGGAAATCACTGATGGATGTAGAAAATCAGCTATTGTGAGTTGAGAGCTCAGATATTTGGTACATAAAGTGGATTCTGAAAGTATTCACATCCCTACACTTTATTCACATTTTATGTTGCAGCCTTATGCTAAAATAATTTTAAGTCATGTAAATTGTCAGCTGTGGGACCGTTAAAAAGACAGTTGTGTAACTTTCCAAATCATGTCCAATCAGTTAAATTAACCACTGGTGAAATAAAAAAAAATGTCAAAAATTTAGGAAAAATCATCAATAGAAATGGGATGCGTCTGAACTGAGATCAATGAGTCTGAATACTTAATTTCTATTTTTAATAATTAGCAAAAATTTCTAAAATACTGTTTTTGATTTGTGGTGATGGAGTGTAGATCAATGAGCAAATAATGAATTCAGACATTTTTGGCATCAGGCTGAAACATAACAAAATTTGAAATTCCCAAAGCATAGAGAGCATGTGTATCTCTACCCTGAGAGTCTGTACTCGACTTTGCCAATGGGAGAAACCTTCTCTGATCCAGAGATATCAGGGATGCTGATAGACTTCAGCTTCTCCTGCAGATACGCGATTCCAATTTGTCGGCCTGCAGAGAAACCAGAAGGGAATGAACATTTACTGAAAGATGTAGCCTGCTGTATGTCAGCTGAAGCTGCCTTTGTATCACCAAAATAGTTGCAGCTGCAGTCATGTAACCCTGTTGTCTGGGATCGGGTTAGGGCTACTCCAGGGCTACTCCAGAGCCATTTGATATACTATACAGCTTTGAATGCTAATGTACTCTTTATGACCATTAATTTCATTACAAACTACAGCTGCTTGTAATACTTCAAATGTGCAAATCTATTTCAAATGAATCCTGTCTAAAATGACGATTTATCAGTGTTTAGCATACTTTACCGCATGCTTAAAAGGGTGCATAAGGATTATCCATAGGCTGACATCTGGGCATCTGGCATGTAGCTTTTAACTTGGCTATAGCATGTGAACCTACCATAGTCCAAGCCTTGCTGGGTAATTTGGACCTTGACTCCAGGGTTGGTGGTCACAGTTGGGTCTGGGAGAGCCAAAAGCACCAGCAAGCACCACAAAGGCATTGTGTTTCCTGCGGAATCAGTCACGCACATCAGTCTCTTGTCTCAGCAACACAGTACCATGTTAACTTCCAGATCATGTAAGAATTGGCAGAATGACCCAAAGTAACCTTACTGTGGCTGAGTATTGCATGCACCAATCCAGAGTAACACACCCATAAGAATTCAACTGCATGTGTGAGACTTAAAAATATAAACAGCATTGCTTTTTTCATCTCATGATACCATTTACTTAAGACATCCAGGTTACGTTGGAACACTCTTTTAATATGGTTCTTTTTAGACACTTGCACATTTTGCAATATCCTTGACCTTCAATCTATATAATATCTATCTATTATATAATATTGGTTTCACATAATTGATAGATATTTAACACATGAACATTAAGCATTTTATGAAAATGTTACTTTTGTTTTACCAGGTGATTAAACCCACCAACCAGACTGGACTGTGTGCAGCTAAAATTTTGGCAAGACTGTTATAATGAAAAAATGTCATCATTGCACAATATGTTTTTCTTATGTATGGGAGTATACCAAAAGATCATTGTGTAAGTTCCAGGTTCCGCAACAAACCAGCACAAATTTCTATGGTTAAAATTCACTACTCATCACAAACTGACAGTGCAAAACTGCAGCTATACTCAGCTCCTCTTGGCAAATCTAAAAGCAGAAGAACATCTTGGGATAAGTTACCAGTTTAACACGCCACCACTTTGTTCTGGCACAAAGATGAGAGACACAATACAACCCAGAATGATATCCTGCGGACGTGACTGAGGTAATGCACGTAGATGAACATAACGTGGGCCTGTTTGTGAGATGTTAGCATGTGTCTCGCAGTGCTGGTGACCACATGACCAGAGACCACTTACAGCAACTTAGTCAGTGGTGAATTGAATTGTTACATTTACATTTACGGCATTTGGCAGAGCAATTTATAAAATTATATTTTGTGTAGTGATTTAGAAAATTAAATTCATTCCTTTCCATCATTACTTTTCAAGTATTATCATTCAGTTAAACCATAAGATTAAAACTGGAATGTCTGGTCTCTAGAGTAGCAATTGAGTAGCACTGCAAGGATATTTATACTATGTGTTCACAAGAGGTTTGAGTCTCCGCTTGGGTCACGTGTGTGTGGAGTTTGCATGTTCTCCCCGTGTCATCGTGGGGTTTCCTCCAGGTACTCCGGTTTCCCCCCACAGTCCAAAGACATGCTGAGGCTAATTGGAGTTGCTGAATTGCCCTTAGATGTGCATGTGTGGGTGAATGGTGTGTGAGTGTGCCCTGCGATGGGCTGGCCCCAGATCCAGGGTTGTTCCCTGCCTCGTGCCCATTGCTTCCGGGATGGGCTCCGGACACCCCGCGACCCAGTAGGATAAGCGGGTTGGACAATGGATGGATGGATGGGTGTTCACAAGAGTATGCTATAATGCCTTTTCTTCAAGCTTCAAACTGTGCGTTATTTGTGTATATCCTATTCATTGCTCTGTCCCTGTCTTAAACATAATTTCCTCAAAGGTTCTAAGGTTCTATGTCAAGAAAATACTGTTTTGAGTAAATATTGAAGTATATGTCTCAAGTAACTTCTTTTTTGGAGAGCACAATGCTTTGTTTTAAGACTAAATCACTACACAATGCCGACACCCTCATCACATGCATGGCTGTGTGTCAAAAAGTCATAACACTTGCAAAAATACCACAGAAAACATTTGAAGAACCGGGAATATACTGTAATATACAATGTTAATCATACTGTGGTTGTATGAAATTAATGCAATAGATTGTACAATGTGCTCAGCATACAGCTGTGTAAAACTGATACGCTAAATAAGAAGAAGCTTGATTTGTTTGTTTTTTTATTACCTTGTGAAAATATGTCCAGGATGAGTTAAGTCTGCTCTTCATTGACTGGGGTCGCTGCAGGAAGAAGTGAAAGAGGAAGACACTAACCATAGCCCTTAAATCACTCTCCTTGACCCGGAAGAGATGATTGCATACTTAAATGTGAATCATCCCACAATGTCACACATGACAAAAAGAGAAGGTCACTCAATGCAGTTGCAGTAACTAGGTAACCACATTGTCACAGTTTCAGTTTCACTAGATAAGGGAAGTGCTGTTATGGTCCCAAAGCTGGTCATGCAGTCAAAAATCTTTTTGGATGAAACACTGTGCTTACATATACACCCCCTACAGAAAGTATATGATGTGGGACGACTGAGAGCTGCCTGATCTCCTCCATCTACTGTAAACATGCCTTCCATTTGTTCCAGCAGTCCTTGTCGCTAAACAGGTCATGTCACTAAGACAGGTCGTGGTGGTTCTGGGGCGACTACTGACAACTGAACGCAGTGATGAGGAAAGACTCCTTTTCACTGCCACACATTGATGATGCCCTGGACTACATTGCTGGGTCAATATGGTTCAGCACCCTAGACCTCCAAACTGGCTACTGCCAGTTTGAACTGGCTCCGAAAGCTTGCCCTAAGGCCGCTTTCTCCATTGACCACAGACTATGGTACTTCCAGTTGATGCCCTTCAGCCTGCGCAATGTCTTAGCCACAGAGCATGTGCTCATGGAGCGTGTCCTGTCCCCAAAACTGAGGGCATCGTCTACCATGCCAGGGCACCTCAAGACTGTGTTCTCCACGATCCGGCAGGCAGGGTTACGGCTGAACCCCTGGAAGTGCTCCCTTCTTCAGTGCCGGACGCGCAACCTGGGCCACATCATCAACGGGGAAGGCATGGCCACCGACCCGAAAAAGATGGCCGACCTCGTGTAACGTGAAGAGTAAAGAGCTATGCCGCTTCCTGAGGTTGGTGTCCTACTACTGATGCTTTGTGAAGGACTTCGCCAGCGTTGCAAAACCGCTGCACCCTCTTTCAGAGAAGAGAAATGGTTTCACGTGGATGGATGCCTGCGCTACGGCTTTCAACTAGCTTCTGTGGCGCTTGCAGATGCCCCTGTGCTAGCTTATCCGGATCCGTGTCTCCCTTTCATCCTGGACATGGACGCTAGTAACGTGGGGTTAGGCACTATGCAGTCACAGGCGGGACCCGAAGGGGAGCATGTGGTTCCGGGGACTTTGTGGAGGTTCCGGGGTGGAGAACCCCCTAGGGGAGGTCAGTGTAGCGCGGAGGTACCGATGCCAGCCTTGTAAATAGTTCTCTGTAGTCGCTTGTGTTGTTATGTGAATGTACTGTGTTGTTCTGCCACGTATAGTGTTGAATGTTTATTGATGTAGATAGCGTGTTGGTGTGTGTGTATGTGTGTATGTGTGTGTGTGTGTGTGTGTGTGTGCCTGGCGACCCACTTTTACAGTATAATAGTGTAGTGCTGACTGGATAGCGGCACATAGTGGGGCTCATTAACACCCCCCCCCCATGCTCTGCAGGTTTGGTAAATAGCCCTGTACTTGTTATTGTAAACACTTGTTTTCCCGATTGATGTGTTTGCTGTTGCCATGTGTGAATCCTGTCTAACCCCCATGTGTCTTTAGCTGCTGTGTCAACTACCCACCATGTGTGTGTGTGTGTGCGTGTGTATGTGTGTGTGTACATGTGCGTGTGTGTGTGTGTGTGCGTGTGTATGTGTGTGTGTACATGTGCGTGTGTGTGTGTGTGTGCGTGTGTGTGCGTGTGCGTGTGTATGTGTGTGTGTACATGTGCGTGTGTGTGTGTGTGTGCGTGTGCACACCTCACTGTCTGCCATCCGACCTCATTGCATTGTTTTGCTGTTACCTGTGTTGTTGGTTGTTTGGTACTTTTTAGAAGGGATGCACCGATCCCACATTTTCTGTGCTGATACTGATACCTGGGTTTACATCTCAGCCAATACAGAGTACTGATCCGACAGCAGTGTTTACTTAATAAGCTGCAGGCTTTTGCCTCACTGTGATCATCCTGTTATGTATAACGCAACATCAGGCTTTTAAATATATATACACACACACACATAGTCATGCAAAAAAATTAGGACACCCCATTAAATATTTAGTTCTTTATTAAGAAATATCAAAATATCAATATTAAGTCTTCTTTCAAATTATATCTGTAGATAAAGGTGATGTAATTGCATCACCTATGCAAAAACAAGAAACAAATTCACTTATTTAACAAAGTAAATTAACTAAGATGCCAGTGCCCTAAGAGCTGGCATTTCCTCCTTTAGCTGAAACAACCTCAGTGAGACGCTTCCTATAACCTTCTATCAATCTCTGACATCGACTGGCAGAAAATTTTCCCCACTCTCTAATGCAGAATTAAGCTATGTGATGTTTGAAGTGTGTCTTGCATGCACTTCCGCTTCAACTCACCCCACAGCATCTCAATAGGATTCAGATCCAGGCTTTGACTTTGACTTGACCATTATAGAACTCTTCATTTCTTTCTTGGAAGCCAATCCTTGGTAGATTTACTGGAATGTTTTGGGTCATTGTCATTTGCATGGTCCACCCCAACTTCAGCTTCCACTTCTGGACAGATGTTTTCACATTGTCCTCAAGCACCCTCTGATATGATGAAGAATTCATAATGGATTCTATGATGGTGAGCTGGCCAGGTTCTGCTGCAGCAAAGTGTCCCCAATCCATGACATTTCCACCCCCAAGCTTCACAGTTGGTATGAGGTTCTTTTCCTCAAAAGCTGTCTTTGGTTTACGCCAAACATGCCCAGTCACTGCACCCAAATAATTCAATTTCAGATTCATCTTTCAAAAGCACATTGTTCCAAAAGTCCTGGTCTTTGTCTAGGTGGGTCTCTGGCAAACTTCAGTGTTGCTCAGATGTTTTTTTTTACAGCAAAGATTTCTTCCTTGCACAGTTCCCATGTAAATCAAACTTGTGCAGTCTCTTTCTGATGGTTGATGCATGTACCTTGACATCAACTGTGGCAAGAGCTTTCTGTATGACCTGTCATGACATTTTAGGATTTTTGGAGACTTATTTCAGGATCTTGGGGTCTGCTCTTGGACTGAACTTGCTAGGACAGCCTATCCTGGCCATACTGGCAGTTGTTTTAAATGTTCTCCACTTGTAAATTATTTTCCGGACAGTGGAATGGCTGATTCCAAACTCTCTTGAGATCTTTTTACATCCTTCCCAGACTCATATGCATCTACAAGCTTCTTTCTGAAGGCATCAGAGAGCTCTTTGGATCTCACCATGGTGATATCACTCATTTCAACAATTAAGAGCAAACCAAACTCAATGTCTGTGGTTTAAATAAGACGGGCTCCACCAAAAAGCTCTGTAACAATGTTCTAATCATTTTCACCTGATATGGTGCCACCTGAACCTAATTCTAGGCATTTTAAATAGTGATGAATGTGAGGGTGTCCTAACTTTTTCCTCAGTGGAAATCAGCATCTTTGTTAATTTCTTTTCATAAAAAACGAGTGAATTTGTTTCTTGTTTTTGTTTAGATGATTCAGTTACATCACCTTTATCTAAAGATATAATTTGAAAGAAGATTTAATACTGATATGTTGAAATTTCTTAATAAAGAACTAAATATTTATCGGGGTGTCCTAATTTTTTCACATGACTGTATATATATGCATGTATTACATTTATCATTATACATTTTATGAGCATGAGCATGTTTTTCTCCTTGAAATAAGCATCCTCATTTTTTCCCACTACTGCTATCCATTGATCAAATATTTGTGATAGATACTATTTGTTAGTGATAATGTATCTTTAATGTTAAAAGTCTTGCCATAGCTACGCCATGCATCTTTAAGAAGAATGTAAGCCACATTTTTGAAAATATACATGATATGTACACTCACCTAAAGGATTATTAGGAACACCTGTTCAATTTCTCATTAATGCAATTATCTAATCCACCAATCACATGGCAGTTGCTTCAATGCATTTAGGGGTGTGGTCCTGGTCAAGACAATCTCCTGAACTCCAAACTGAATGTCAGAATGGGAAAGAAAGGTGATTTAAGCTTAATTAAATTTTGAGCGTGGCATGGTTGTTGGTGCCAGAC